AAAGCAAGTGTGGGGGGGGGGAATAGGAAGGCACAGAAAGAGGAAGGAAGTTTGCACAGGCGTGTCAGGAGAAAATCCATGTGAAATATTTGCGAAAGGTTCACTAAGAGAGACCAATGTTGCTGACTACTGTTCTACTGGGGCCTCTTTTCAATAGTGGGAGGAGTCTCATTCCTCTGGGAAGAACAAGCTCCTTGTTTCCATTCTCCTTCCCATTGCTGTCCAGATTTTTATTTTTACTTGAAACTATTTTATTTTGGTAGATTGCCCCCCCCCCCGGAAAAAGTAAGCTACCCAGTAAAGGAGAGCTTGGTGTTTTTCTTTTGGAAAATACAGAAGGAAAACTGTAAGGGAGAAAGATCATCTTTTCCTACTTGAACAAATTTATGAAGGTCAGGAGAGTCCCTGAGACAATGAGAGCACCCTTTTTTCACCTAACCCCTAAAGTGAATTTCCTGGAGTATGCATTGTGGGTGAGACAAAGCGTTTCTTACGAGATTGTAACACACATGTAAGTCCAGTCTCAGAATGGAAAAGAAGGGGCAGTGCAGTATAATGGAAAGAACAAAGGCTCTGGAATTAGAGCACTCAGGTTCAAATCCTGCCTGATGCTACCTGTGTGTCTTTGGACAAGTTACTTGATCTTTCTGGGCCTGTTTTCTTCACCTGTTCAATGAGGGGTTTGGATTACATGGCCTCTCAAGTTACTTCTAGATCTATACTCCTGTTATAAGCCAGGTGGCTATTAATGCAGAACAGCAGCAAAAGAGTCAGGATTATATCTTCCATGCTCTGACCCTACTATCCACAAAAGATTAGAAGTCTGGACTAAAGCTCAATAGTTTGAGCATACTACTAGCTCCAACGAGCTATGATTCAACAGTTACTTCCCAAAAAAGCCAGAAACTGAAAGCATCTAGGAAAGTACTTTCAAAGACTCTGTGAAAGTCAAAATATCAATAGGAAAAGGAAACCAAAAGAAAATGGGTCAAAATATCTTCCACTGGTTTCTACAGTATTTCCAATAGCAGTTGAAAAATGGTAGAGCATCAGACTTTTAAGCTGAACTTAAGTCTCTTGGGTAGAAGCTTCTTTCGATGTTTTTTTGAAAGGCAGCATGCTCAAGAAAACTCGCTCTCCAAGCACTAAACTTGTGAATCAGAAGCCATGATTCATATTCCCAGCTCTGTGACCCTGGATAGGTCATTTAACCTCTCTGAGCCTCAGTTTCATCATCTGTGAAACTGGATAATAATAATTATACTACCTATCTCACAGCCTTGTTCTATCAAATGAGACAATATGGATACAAATGCTATATAAATGTAACATACTATCAATGCTGAGTGCGGTATGGGGAATAGAAAGCTGACCCTGGAACAGAAAGACTTGGGTCTTAGTAGGGCAGCTAGGTGGTGCAGTAGATAGAGCATCAGCCCTGGAGTCAGGAGTACTTGAGTTCAAATTTGGCCTCAGATACTTGACACTTACTAGCTGTGTGACCCTGGGCAAGTCACTTAACCCCAACTGCCTCATCCCCCCCCCAAAGAAAAAGACTTTGGTCTTAGTCCTGCTTCTGACTCATACTGACAAGTCTATTAAACCCTCAGTGCCCCCAGACAGCCCCCTAATATGCTAAGTTACAGAGAAGGTGCCAACCCGCATTGGTAGAGGCAGTTTCTTCATTGGGAGATCCTTATGCCAATGAGAAATCACAGAGCTACAGCAGATATAATAATTATCATGATGATAAATAATTATTATAGAATATATTATAATTATAATATCTGTGACATAATTATAATCACATATAATATATTGTGTAATTATATATAATTATAAAATAATTATTATAATGATGACAACATAATAAAGAATTTAACATGATAGTTGGAATGGACATACATCAGTAACTAACATTAACCTGGACTCCAAGTTCATAACATCAGCTGTTTTCTCATGATGATTCTCATTCTCTCTTTCTCTCTCTCTCTCACACACACACACACACACACACACACACATATACACACACACACACACACACCTCTCTCTTCCTCTCTCTCTCTCTCTCTCTCTCTCTCTCTCTCTCTCTCTGCCCCTGCTCCCTAGCATTATATTAACATAAAAATAAGTAAGACAAAAGACAAAAAATGTTGGCAGACAAGCCAGTAGCAAATGAGTGCACAGACTATTACTCCTTGCAGGGAGATCTGGGCATTTTATTTCAATGAGTAGTCAGGGTGTTCTCCCAGTCCTTGGTTAACATTTATCTTTTTGTTTTTCTGTTTCTATGGCGCTGATAGACTGTGGGACTTGTGCACCCCCGTACCTTTTTATTAAAGGTTCTTGACCTTCTCTCTCCGGCCTTATCTCTCTCTATTCCTAACACAATCCTACTGCCTCAGGTAGGCCCATCTTGCTGTTACCCACAGGGTGTGCTGGAGCGACCAATGTCAGCTAGTTAGAAGTAATTGTAATATGTTTAATATGAGCATTGAGAACTCAGAAATGGGCAAATATTACAAATCAGGGCTTGATTTGTTCTTCTGTTGATTGTCTAGACTTAAGAAAGCAATGGAGAAAATGACAATAATGCAGATTAAATTTAAACGTGCTCTGTCCATTTTTTCTGGAGATCTGGTAATTAAACATTTACCAGCATATGCCCTTGACCCTTACTCGAGCCATAGCATGCCATTATTCCTTCTACCTTTGCTCAACGTTCCTCTGGCCATTCTCCCTCTCTGCTAATCCAGAGTCTATACTAATCAAGACTAATCAAGTCCCATGCCTACCAAAAGCTTTTATATATGACTCTAGCCCTCACATTTTCCTTTGGTGAATGCCTAGCATTTATATTATAAACCTGAAAATCATAAAACTTGGTACTTGGTTATATATAATCTTGCTCTCAAATTGTGTCTTGAATATAAGTCTTCCCTGTAATAAAATTAGAAGTTATCTGAAGGAAGAGGCCCAATTCAATTTAATTTGGTCCAACAAACAATTATTGAGTACCCACCATGTGCAAGATATTGTGGCAAATGATGTACAAGAATTATGCTTCTACTTTTTCTGTATTCTCCACTACCCTAGCACAGTGCTGAAAGAGACAAAGTCCTGCTGATTTGACTTGAGATCCTAAGATAAATTTATTCAACTTTTGGCTCTCTCAACAAGATCATTAACAATGGAAATTTAAGGCATTCCATAAAGTCTAAGAAACTGAATTGCTAAGAAAACTTATGGAATGTGGGTAACCCTGTGAAATCATGCCTACTCTTTTAAATTCAACCAGGAGTCTGTCTACTTATCATGGGGGGATCCATGCTGTTCCATACCACAGTTTAGAGCAGAAAACAAAAGAAAATCCCCATATTTGATTTAAACTGTAAGAGAAATGTTAAGTAGTCAGAATGTAATTATTGAAATTGGAGTATGGCCAGGAAACTAGGAAGAAAAAAAGTTCTGCCAAATCTGTGGGTAACCACAATGGTCAGCATCTCCTCTTTTACATCCCATCTAAAACACAGGTCTTCGTATACCACCATGCCTCCCAGAAGGCAAGGCCACTCAAACAGTATCGATTCAGAGAAAAGAGAGTTACCTCTCAAGTCACCCACAAGATTTCTGAAAGAACAATATTTGGTCTGATTTTCTTGCGAAAGCTTGCTCAGGAGAGAGACCCAAGGTGAGTGTCACATTTATGGACCAATGCAAGTCAATCACAGAAAACATAGCTGACACGACTCTTGTCTTTCTAAACATCTAAACTATGCCATTAAACTTGGAATGTTTTCACCAAATATATACACAAATTTTTGTTTTCACTTCATCATTCATTTCTTACTGATCAGTACCCAGGAATGTTACCACCCTAAGGAATATGTGGACAGTAGATGGGTATCTAAACCAGGATGAATAGCGTAAGGTCAAGAATCAGTTTCATCCTTTATTTCATTCTAAAGAGCTCCTCTAATGTCCTGCTTTTTATTAGCTTTCTCTATGGCACATGTGTAGCCAAAAACATTGTAGCCAATTCTTCCTCCTTGCCCAGGTAAAAGTACTTGGGGAGAAAATGACACATTCAGAACTTTGAATTCCTCAGCATGTCGATGACATTGACTCCATATTTCTTCACCAGACCTTGGACAGAGCACTTTCTATAATGTCCTAGAATCTAATTAAGTAAGGATCAATTGATGATTCATGAAGAGCTACATAGTAAGCATAAGAACATGGGTTGAAAGCAAAGGAAGAATACATTCTACTTTCCCCTGAGTGACTGGAAGGCAGGAGCCTAAACCTTAACATGTTCATATCATTGCATTATGTCTGGGTTTAGGCAGCCATTTAATTAAATTCAAATGATAAGAGCAGACATATTTACACGATTTAAAATGTTATCTTTCCCCCCCCCGTCTTCCAAGAAGGCCTGAAGAAAGAATCTTTGTTTTCACTTCAATTTTCAAGGAAATACATATTTTCCTGGCTATGAGAGGACCACTACTTAAGAAGAGCAAAGAGGTGAAAGATACATGAGTAATCATGTGAATAAAGTCCCTAAACTCTCAGGGGTTCTTAACTTGGGGTCCATGAACTTTTTTTTACTGTTTTCATAAATGTACTTTTATATATTTGTTTTCTATATATTTTATGAATTCTAAAACATTATTATGAGAAGGGATCCATAGGCTTCACTAGACTGCCAGAGGGGTCCATGACATAAAAAAAACCTTGAAGAACCCCTGCTTTAAACTCTCTCTCCATTAGATTGGATGCTAAAAATTCATTAACTTCCATGACCTCGGAAAATCTTACTACCTGTCAAACAATAATAGAAAATAACATGGCTCAGATTCACTGGTATGCAGGTATCCTTACTTTGGCAAGCACTAGGAACTTCACATACTCAGATGTCCAAAGTATTAAATATTTTGCTATTGATAGTAAAGACATCTTGGAGAAAAAAAGAAGACAGCCTCAGATTTCCTTACTTCTGACCAGTCCAAAGCAACCCACTGAGGGGGGCAAGACTGGTTGTTGCAGGGCTCTTTTTCAATGGGCCGATGGGTTAAACAGCTACTGTAGTCCAGTGTCTCCTCCTCGGAAGGTCCAATCTTCCTGATACAGAGCACTGTCCTCGTGCGCATTCCACCATCACAGGTCTTGCTGCACTCCAACCAATCCCCAATAAACCACCTGTAGCACCAAGTGGGAGAAACACAGAGAAGCATTTCCTAAGTGCAGCAGCAATTTTCAGCTGAGTTGCAAGCAATTTCAAAAAGAGACCAAATCCTTTCTCAAGTATATCTATCTGGAAAGAGTAAGGTGTTCATGGTGGTTGAAATTGCTGGACATACACTCACACTATGGGATAACTGTGCAACTCAATAACAGTCCCTTAGTACTGGGGACAATGGTCCCCGATGGCCCATTGTCTAGTATTTAAGTGCCAAGAAAGGGATATGGAGGGATGGATGTCAGCACAAATCTCTCTCCACTACTTGGGAACCAACTCAGAGCTGTTGTGATGTTTTCATGTATCAGCACCTGGGATTTTCTACCACTCCCTTTCAGCATTAAACCCAAGAGGATTTGACAAATTCCTTGTATCCTAAACTTGAGGCTATGTTTGATTTATGGGTCCACAATGGACTTTATTGTTTTTTATTATTTGGAATTCTTTCATTCCCTAATAAAACATTACAAAAATATTATTCATCAAAACAAAAGAAATTGGTCAGTTCAAGACCTAAATTTTTGAAAACTCAGTATTTATGTTAAGGATGAATTTTCTTTCAATTGTTCCTTTCTCAAAAAATATCACACAGCATTTTTGGGCTCTCTTATTCTGAATCAATCTCCAAAGGAGATAAAAATATTTTCAAATTTTCTTTCTTTTAAAAAAATTTTTGTTTTTCATAAATGAGAATGATGTCATTTTGGGGGAGGAAATGTGTACTTGTATACTGAAGATGATAACTTGTATGCCAGCCATACTAAAACTCTGATTCAGTTGCCAAGGACAAAGAAAAACAGTGATTTCATCACTAAGATTGGGAGATAAAACAGAAATGTCTACTCAGTCATAGAAAATTCAGTCATACCACCTCCAGCCATGATCTCATTAGATAGCATATTGTAAGAAGGGTCCAGCTTTGACGTTCCTTACAAGACCGCTAAATTAAAGACAGGTGCAGACAGGTTGGTGCTGGTGATTCAGTAGGTGTTTCTGTTTTTCTGTCTCCCTTAGTCTGTGCCACCTCTGACTTTTCACTCTTTGTCCAGCCTAGTTTTGCTATGAGTCTGTCTATAATACCTTAGCCTGCATGTATCACCACAGCCTTCAACTTGGAATGAATAAAAATAAACTTATTAATCACCTTCTCAATTTCCCTTCTGCTTTCAACACTGCTTTTACACTCTTTCAACCCTTCAAAGCCTGATCCATTAGCCTGCTGACTTCTTCATTGTTCACAAAATCATTCTTTCTACTCTAGGCTTGAATTGTTGAGTGGTTTAAATAGTTGTTTTAAATACTGTTTTTTCACCCAAAGCAAAACCTAGCTAAGTTTCAGATACAGGAATGATGGGCTCTTGGCAAGGGACTGAGTGCATCTAATGAGGTCCAAGAAGATTATATGTGCATGGAGACATGCAGATCTGATCATGAGGGAATCATACAGAATCATACAGAAAACGGAGGAGGAATGAACAAACAATACATGTTCTTTTGCTGTCATACCATATATGATATAGAAGGAATCTAATTAATAATAATAATAATAGCTAACATTTAGATATCACTTTGCAAAGCGCTTTACAAACATTAGCTTTTTATCTTCACAATATCTTTGACAAGTAGATGCTATTACTTTCTCTACTTTATAGATGAGGAAACAGGCAGACAGAGGTTAAGTGACTTGTCCATGTTCACACAGCTAGTAAGTGTTTGAGGGAGAATCCAAACTCAGGTCTTCCTGACTACAAGTCCAACACTCTATCCACTGAGTCACCTATGAGAACTGGCCTATTGCTAGGCCCTGGCTGACTCTATATCTGACCATTGTTTGAGCCACTCATATACCAGGAAGTTCCTATGTACCAAATCACTGGCCTAGTCAGCTACATTTAGGGTTATAAATGCAAGGTTAGTAAGCGATCAGTTTAGCAAACTTCACGAACCCAAGTGTGCAGAACTAAAAAACTTTCTCAATCAGAATGCCCTTGTGATTGATAAAGGGGATGGGAAAAGGATGTCATGGTCTAGACCACCCACTGATTGACTGTCCAGAAAGTCCCCTTCCCATTCAGTCCTTGTTCTTACATTTCTTTTCAGTACCACCTTAACCACAATCTCCTCACATCAACTCCTCATGAAGAGGTGTAAAACTTCACAGAAGGCCACATCCAGAAAGAACCCCACTGCCCTTAGATGTCTTTCTACACACAAATGCTCATGAGCAATAACTAAATAGAAATCTTTATACGAGGAGGTAAATTTGACCACTAAGCATCACTGAAGCACTGCAGGAGCAAAATATAGCAGTAATAATAATAATAATGATAGCTAGCATATATATAGCACTTTAAGGTTTGCAAAGCACATGTTATCTCATCTAATCTTCACAACAGGTACGTACCATTAATATCTCCACTTTACAAATGAGGAAAATGAGGCTAAAAGACATCAAATGACTTGCTCAGGGTCAATCACACCACTAAGTAAGAGTCTGAATTCAAACCCTAGCCTTCCAAACTCCAAGTTTAGCACTTCATTTTTTGTATCACCTAACTTTCATCTACCATGGAAGGTACTTGTTATTGAAATAACACAGACAAAAGTATCAGTGGATTAGCACTTTGCATCAAAAAGATCTAGTCTGTTGAAGCATACCATTTTTTACCTTCTTTCTTTTTTTATTTGAGTCTTCTTACACAAAATGACTAATATGGAAATGTTTTCATGATTGTATACATATAACCTATATCAGCTTGTTTACCATTCCAGGGGGAGGGGCCAGAGATAGAATTTGGAACTCAAAACTTTAAAAAACAACAAATGTTAAAAATTGTTTGTCTATGCAATTAGGGGAAAAATAAAATATTATTTTATTTAAAAAGATCTAGTCTATGAGGAAAATCGAGAAATAGAAAAAGTAAACATTGTTGGATTTGAGTAAGGAACAAAAGAGGAAGAAGCAGCTGACATCATCATGGGGGTGTATTATATCACCAGTCAGAAGGAATGAATAGATGAGGAGTTTGGGAAACAAGCTGGAAACCAGGCATGAAGACTAGGGCTCTCTCTCTTCTACAAGTAGGCATCTGAGAAATTCTTGATTTGCCTTGATAATGATTTCATTTTTCAAAGGATGGAGGAAGTGACAAGTGGAATTGTTATTATGGATCTGATTTGGACCAATATGGAAAAACTAGTTACCTGAATAGAAAGGACAGGAACCTGGGAAGCAACTCAACTCACCATCTTTGACTGAGTTCATGATAAATAATACAGGGAAACCTGGCCATAGCATTACAGGTATTTTAGATTTGGGGAAAGTGGATTTTAAAGAATTCAGAGAAAAAGTAAATAATATTTTGTGTCCTGAAATCTATAGTGGAAGTCAGTTCAACAAGCAGATGTTCTCAAGAACAAAAATCTGACAACACAAACACCTATGGTTCTGAGGAGGAAGTAAAGAGGAAATTATCTCTGAAGAGATAAATGTGGCAGCAAATGGAACTGACTCAGATTTTTAAAGATGTGTACAGAAGACGGAAACAAGGGGAAAATAACTAAGAATGAAAGCAAAAGGTTGAATGTTCTCATAAAAAATATCTCCAGAATGAACTGAGGATAACAAAAAAGACTTCTTTCGTTATGCTGAGAGCAAATCTTTATCAAATAAGGAATAGGATCAATCCTTTAGAGTCCTATTTCTCATTCCATAAGTACTTTAGGTGCAATCAGCAGGTGATCTGGACTGTATCAGCCATAAAGGCACTGAGATTAGGAAAACTGGCTAACCTTACAGACCTGGACCGAATTAGATGAAGTTTGCTAAATTGACAGTTTACTAACCTTGCATTACTAACCCTAAATGTAGCTGATAAAGCTAGCTACTGGGTCTCTCTTCCATCCCCTGTGAGATGGGACTTAATCAATCAAATATTTATTAAGTATTTACTACATATTAGGAGTTGTGCTAGATGCTGGGGAAAAAAAACATGAAAGCGAGGCAGTCTCTGCTCTTGAAGAGCTTATATTCTACCTGGGGAATACATGTTCTCAGATACAGGAGATATACAATAATATTGGAAGGGATGCTAAGAACTGAGAGACATCTCTTCTCATGAAAGAGGTATACCTGAGCTGAGCATTCTAAAGAAATAAGGTTCCTGTATCAGTAAACCTCGATGAGCTACATTCCAGAATACTGAAAGAATCTGGGTATGTGATTACCAAATCACTGTCAATGATCACTGAAAAAATTGTGGAGAAAGAGAAGAGGTCACTGAAATTCAATAGCCTCATTTTACAGATGAGGAAACTGAGGCCCAGGAAGTTAAATGATTTACCCAGAGCATATCTAAGTTGGAATTTGAACTCAGGATTTCCCAGTTCCAAATCCAGTGTTCTATCCACCAAACCAAAAGATTTTTCATGAGCATATAGAAAGGGAAGCAGTAATTCCCTTGACACAGCATGTGTTCATCTAGAGAACAAATTATGCCAAATTAATCTTACTTCCTTTTTTTTTCAAGGTTACCAGACATATCAATAGTTCAGGAAAATGCCACAGACATAATAAACTTAGATTTTAGCCAGGCATTTGACAAAGTTATGTTAGACTTGTGGACAAGATGGAGAAACGTGGGCTGGATATTAGTATAGATAGGTAGACTAAAATTTAGTGAAATGACAAGAGTGTTGATTAATGTATTGATGTCAACTTAGAAGAGAAGTCTCTGGTGGAATGGCATGAGGAAAAGGTGTTTGGTTTTGCTTAAGATTTTTATCAATGACTTGAATGAAGGCATAGATGGCATGCTTGTCAAATTTACAAATGACGTAAAACTGACAGGATACCCAATACTCTGGACGCCAGAACTGGGATCCAAAAAGCTCTTAACAGGCTAGAATGACTGGCTGATTCTAATTAGGTGAAATTTAATAGGAATAAATTTAAAATCTT